TGATGAAGATGAAATTGAAGTAAATGTTCATAATAGTCATAGTCATGCAACATCAATGAGTGAACATTTAAAAGATTATCATACAGGTCAAACTGAACATGATGATCGTATTATATTACATATGGATGCTGATGAAGAAGAAGAAGAAGAGTCATATAATAAAAAACTTGTATATGTATAAATAATTAACCCTTTTGTTTTCTCTTTTGTGATATGTTATTCTTTTCCTATATTCCTCAGATATAAACATAATATATCTCTTGATTTGTCTTTGTAACGTCTTTTTGAACAGTGCAATGTTTCCTCTTTTTTTTGTATTCTAATTAAATTGCTAGTACTGTCAATATTCTTTGTCTTATTATCTTATAGCAGAGATACGAGAGATATCAATTTACAATAATCTAATAAGTGATTTTTGTGATAATAGTCAAAATGAAATCATTTTTCAAATATATTATCAATAAAATTATTGTAATTGAATTATGATCTATTCGATTGATTTAGATTCAAGAAATTTTAAACATCTTCTAAAAGAAACGTGTTATTTTTCAAGATTACATCGATTGCCTAAGTTAATCATCTTGAGTTTTTTTTATCGAATTTATCGAGAGAGAAATTTGCTTAGAGACAAAAAAAAGCTTGCTAAAATGATTTCCTAATTAATATAAAATGAAACGAACAAGGATGACTAGCTTATTAAATAATGAATAAAATTACTATAAATCAAATATATTAAGACTTCATAGTAAAAACCTTGTATTAAATTAATGTATAGACGATGATCTAATACATGCCTGATCAAATTCTGTCCAGACTCTTCTACCTGCATTGATAAACTTTTACAATTCACTAATCAAGGTCCATCTAATCAGCCAATAAGACTTGAAAACATTATAAATCTTTCTTCCTCACCTTGACCTTGTTCTATATTCTCTCACTTGGTAACACTTACTTCATTGTCTGAACCCAATTTTTTTATGAAATCTATCGGATAATTTCTGTCAAACTAAGTTCTGCACAAATATACGTAGATCATGAGAAAAACTATATATAAAGTAATTATATCTATTGTCAAGCCAACTGAAGCAATAAGTTTTTCAAATGTATCAGTGAAATCCTCTAACGTAAACTAATGAATTACTACAAAAATAACTGCCAATCTTTCTTCACAAAAAAAGTATACTGGCTTCTTTTCTAGCACTACAACTAGACCTGTATTAACATAATGATACACAAGAGTTCTGATGGCATCTGTCTCCGTTCAATTATATATATATATCTTTTACCATAATGTATCATCTTTGTTCTATTATATTTTATAGACATATTATTTAATAGAGTATTCAATATATTCCTTCCGAAGTGATGTGAGCCACGGGTGGCTCACACTTTGCATTTCATATCTTAATGTCTAAATGCGTTTTTTAAAAAAAACAGGATATACCATAAGATGCAGCATGAAGCGCTCTAAAATCTACAATGTAAATCCTATCTCAATGGTGTATAAACCTCGACGTAAAATACCATGATTTCGTAGCACTCTCAAAAATTTGATTGCACACAGTTTTGCGTTTCTTGAAAACAAAAAGTGCACAATTGGAGTAGATGCTACGGTGTAGATTGTAGAGCTTTTCGCGCTGCATCTTATAGTATATTTTGTTTACAAATAAGACGTATTTATTAATGTAATTTTCTATAAGAATCGAATCACCTCAGAAGAGATATGTTTATTCTATTTTTAGGTATGTAACAGTTGGAAAACTGAAAATATTTGATTAAATATTAAATTCATATTTCTTTTACAATATATCATATACGTAAAAAAATAATATTCTTTAGTAAATCATTCAAAGATAGCCATATAGTAAATAGAATATAAATAGATACTACTTTTATAAGTGGTTACACAAAATATTTAAACTAATACAGACAATATATATATATATATATATATAGACAACTATTTCTATTTCTTTCAAGTATAATTCTACATGACACTTATATACAAGTGTTAAATATAAGTATATGTTATATTTATCTTTCTTTTTTGGTTTTTCGAATATTAATTTCTCTAGATAATGATAATAAGATACTGTTCTATTGTGAACAATATTTTTAACTTCGATAAATATTGTATAATAAGATAATAAATAATATCGGATTATAAAATTTAACTATTAAATTAAATAATCATTACAAATGTCATAGTCAATACTATCGAGTAAATTTATTCAATTATATAACAATCAATTCGAGTAAAGTCATCATAAGGGTGATGTCAATTGAAATTGTATGCATTATGCCGACTAACCCTGTCATATATAATTTACTACTCATCTACGACATCATACTAATAAAAATGACAACATTACAAAAATAAAAAAGATTATACTTGTCGTCTACATCTATTTTCTTATTATTAATCATTAGTATTGTTTTAAACGTTAGATCGTATTTTGAATTTCAATGCAATACTATATTAATCATATTATTATTGAGTATCAAAAATATATTTTATGCTAAATTTATTTATACAGCTGTTAACAATTAACATTTGCTACTAATTATTCGTTAATCCTAATGCAAATCCATCAACCTATTGTAAACAATAACTTATGCTTGAGATCTTATTCTATCCTACAGAATATTTTTTTATGTGATAAGAAAATTGATTAAAATAACAAACTGTTAAATATTAATCAATGTTAATAACTGGAATTAGTTTTGAAATTTATAATATCATGAAAACATTTGGTTGATAGCTGAATTTTTGAAACATTTGTTTTGCGACTAATGAAACAAAACTCATATTTGATAATTGCATACAAGTTCCAAATGAATGAAATCTTGTTAAAGAAAGTGAAATATTTTATTCAAGAAAAAAGTCGTACATCACTTATTCCTTTAATCTATTTTTTATGATGTTTTTCTTAACATCAAACAGTATTATATACTTTTCAACTTGTTTTTTTTTCAGTCTAAAAATAATATTTTTTTTTTGTAAATTTCAAATCAAATAAAATTTCGAATCAGTAATAAACAAATAATAAATTGAATGGACATACGATATAAAATTGTGTTATTACATAATGGTGTATCACAACAATAAATACATTCAAGTCTTTGCAAACGTTCATCAGTATAAACACAATCATATACTGGTGTATCTATCATTGAATTAGTTCTATCTTTCCATGAACATAAACCTTTTGGAACACAATCACGACGTAAATAAGTTTCAACAGTACGATAACTAATAACGACTTTTCGACATTCATATTCATCGACATTATCAGAATTACAGTCTTGAATAAAAGGTGCTGCTAATGGCGAACTTATATTAAGATGTTTACATGAATCAGGATGATCAGCTAAAATAGTAAAGATATATATATATATATATGAAAATTAATAGAATTCTAAGACTTACTATAACCAACGATTGGTTCGATACATGTATAACATGAAAGATTATTTGTACTATTTGAAGTATTTCGAGTTCGAATACTAATAACCATATCAAGTTTTAATAGGAATATAAATAATAATTTAAATAATGAACAGGTATTAGTTTCATCAAACAATTTCATTCGTTTTACCATTATTCATTCACGATTTGTTAAAAGTCAAGCTGTTTTTGTCGGAAACTATTTCTTTCTCTCTATTCTCGTTATATATGTTATTTCCATTCCATTGCTTGTAGTTGTCAATAAAGATTTTTCTTCTTCTCATCATTTTTTTCTTGTTCTTCTCTTCTAGAAAATTTTTCATCATTGTAATAGTCTACACAAGCATGCATTTGTTCATAAATAATAATAGATTTCTTTTTTTACAAGAGATAAATTTGCTTGCCCAAAACCTCATTTATCCTTTTATATCAATAATGTGTTCAAGGCATTGCATGATCATGCAAAGAAGAATCTAATTGGTATATAGAGCCGACATAACGAAAACCAGTGTTTTTTTCCTCTCTATATATTTATTTTCTGTAATTGACTTAAAAGAAGAAAGAGGAAAACTATATTGACAAGAAATATAATTTATTATATTATCTAACGAAAAAAAATCTTTTTCTTAGATCACGTTTTTAAATAGGATATTTATTAATCTATTGAGTTAGATTTAACCAATTAAAGATCTTTAATAATTTACAAGAATCGGATAAGAAAGATAGCATCATTGTTGTATGAAATATATATGAAAAATGATACTCGTTTGTTGTTTTTTCTTCTTCTTTTGTGGTATTCATCTTAAAGAAATGAATTGAGTCAGTCTCTTGTGATTCAATTCTTTCATATCCTTTTTTTTCATTTTTCAAAGATAATAATTTGTTTGATATATTGTTCAATGAAGTCTAAATTTCCGATCTCCTTTTATTATATATGAACATGCACTCTTTCACATGAAAATTATTAACCTTAATTAAGTATTATGTTAAGAACAATTGATAATTTTATCTTCGTAGGAATTTTGAATATTTATTTGGAGTATGAAAAAAATTTTAACACTATCGGCTGTTCATTTAATTATTTATAAAAATAACGCTCTCAATTATAGTCGGCTATGACCGGAATATTATTAATTCTCTGATTATGCAAATCATATTTACTAGTATGAAATATGCTGTTTACACTTCAATTCAATTTATTAATAACAATTATTTAATAGAATTCTAACATTTAATAACGACATCTATTAGCTAATGACCTCAATTCGTTTCTTTTGATTAACCAACAAAGTGACTAAATAATTCACCTCTTTCTCTTTGTTCATACGTTCAATTTCAATATCTAATATAATTTATATGTTTAATAGTTGATCGTTGAAATAATCTATAGTATCAACATAAAAATAACTTATAATCCCATTTAGTGACAATATCACAATGACTATCAATACTAGTAATTCTTAGATACGTTCGAATGTTTTACTCATTATCTAGGTGAATATATCTGTAATTACAAAAGAAAATATTTGAGCAAATAGTATATCATCTCATATAAAATATAGTGAGAATTCTATAGATTAAGGTGTACTAGAGCGAGTAAGAAAGAAACAAAAAAATCGATTTTTCTTACCTTTTCAATAAAATCAAAATATTTCAATTTTAGATCGATGAACAAACTGGTTAAACTATTATAAATTTAGAAGATCGAATCATAATATAATATTATTTTCTAGATGTCTGATAGATTAAAAATAAAACTTCAACAGACTACACATGCACTTGGTATATTAGCCTATAATCATCGATTACTTATTGATAATACAGTTGAAGATGGTGTGTATGTGTATTTATATATTTTATAGAAAAATATGTCTATGAATTATTTAGATCTATTTATTTTATTGAAACAATATATAGAACAAAGACAAATAGTCAAACAACTTGAAAATCAATTAAAAACTGTTACATTAAAAACAAAATCACAAAGGTAAAATATTTATTTTAATATAGAATGAAACCAAAATCAAACGAATGTATTGATATTTTTAGTCAACAAATTCAGGATCAACGACAACGTCGTCTTAATTCAACAAATCGAGCTACTAGATTAGTATGTAAAGATTTTCATTACAACTTTTTCATTGATTAGAACATTACAGTGAGAGAATGTCGCTTTTCTAAAGACTTACGTGATCATTATTGATTTATTCGTAATGAATAACATTGAGTAAAATAAATATTGAAATTTTAGCATAAAACAATTCAACAAATCTATGATATAATAAATTATCGTGGTCAACATACATCACCCATAGATCAATTACATTATATTAAAAAATTATGTGAAGATAGATTAAGGTTTGTTTTGAAATTAGTATTACAAAAAAGAAAATTTGAATGTTAATTCTAGAGATGATATATTATCTGAAGATGAAGATGAAGATGAATTAGATAGTCGAAACTGTACAATTGATGATGATCAAAATGAAAGTATTATAATACATCCTCGTGTTGTTCTTCCTCAATCATCAACAAAAAAACGTTCATTAAATCAAGATGATAATAATATTATGTCGCCACCAAAACGTCTTCGATATGAAGAATCTCGACAAATAGTATAATATAAATTATTTTATTCCCAATGATATTTTTCTATATTATATTAATAGATAAATCCTATATCTCAACGTATCATCGCTCAAACAACATTTGAATGTTTTACATCAGCAGAAAATACAACACGACCATTTACTGTATCAACTGATATTAAAATGATGGATAATTCATGTAATGACCAGTCAAGTTGTTTGACAATGAGTATGATTTATATTCATTTAAAAAGAAAAAAGTATCCAAAATTGTTTTCCTAGATAATGATAATACATTATCATCATCATCAATAAATAATAGTACAAAAACAACATCATCATCTTCAATTGAACAAACTTTATCAATGACACCAACAAAAATCTCTACGACAGCACATCGTTTTGCTTCGAGAAAAATTTTCAAACCAGAAACATGTTTTGTGGTAAAAAGGAATTTTTGTTTTTATATTTAAAATCGAAAATTTTTTCTTCTATTTATTAGTGTATCAAACGAATCAATTTTGGTTCGGTATCATATCGTTGTTCATATTGTTCTCAATCATGTCATGTTAATTGTAAAGAAAATGCAGGTTCAAATTGTAAAACATTGTCAAATAATGCAATGTTACCACCTCATTCACCTAAAATATCAACAATAACCACATTAAAAAATACTCATCGACAACGATTGACTAATTCAGAACCTCGAAAAGCAGGTATATCATCAATACATACATCAACTATTCAACGACGTTTACCATTCGATGGCATGATGTCACATAAATCCAGTAGCAAATATATTCCTTCTGTTTAATTATTTGAACGATAAAAATTTCTTTTTTTTGTTTGTTTGTTTACTCTTCAAGCACACACAAATTTCCTTTTTGATAGAATCATGTTTATTTTGTTTGTTATTATCAATATTTTGATATGATTTGTGTGTTGTAGAAATGAATGAATAAGCGAAATATTTGTTGTTACATATGTTTAATAAATATAAATTGTCAGATATTTGATTAGTAAAAAAAAAAACTTGACAAAAGTAAAATATTAAACACAAATGATGTATTCGTTATTCTTGAGAAAGATTTAACCCTTTCAGGACGGTGGTACAACGTATGTACCACCTATCCTGGAAGGAGGTTCAGGCTTTTTAAAAAAAAAAGTTTTTTTTTTTAGTCGCGGTCAAAAAGACAGTTTAAGAATAATGCACTGATCGTGAAAAAGATAAAAAGAAAAACTAGTCCTGAAAGGGTTAAATCGTATTATTTCTTATTGTGTTTTTTTCATACAATTTTACTTCTATTCGATGTAAACAAAAGTTCATCTTAATCTACATCTGAATGTGTAGATTTATACTCAACAAAAAGTAAGTTCAAATCCGAATCACACATACACTTCTTATTATCGTGGTATTTACTCAAGATTATAGTAGAAACAAGTATTTTTAATCATTTAACATCTACCAAGGTATAGCCTGTCTATAATAAATACTCTCGATGATCGACAGTGTTGAGTGTTATGAATAACTTTTATAGTAATATTAATTATTCATTGAGTAAAACAAATTATTGGAATGTTAATGTTTACATAATAGAAACCGTTTTTTTATTTAAATGAATGTTGAAGATTTAGCACTTCATAATGACAAATCACAACAAAATTTATCTAATTCATTTTTTTTCATAATATTCAAATAAGTATAGGAATAGAGAAAAAACTACTGTTCTACAATTCTATAACCATTGGAAAAAAGAAAGAGAATATAAGATATCTATTTCAAAAAATTAATTATGTTTACATGCGTTTATGAACACGGGGAAGATAAGACGAACAGAATGTATAGATGAATGAAATAAATTGCACTAAATTTTCCATAGTAGTAACAGGAATCAAAGACATATATAAACCAACTCAATGGAATGTATATATATATAGGTAGATATATGTATATTTTTGTACAGAAAATTATGCCGAGTTCGGTCAACAAAAGTAAACAAAGATTGCACAGTAAGTAGAAAAAAATAGTTGACAAAAGAAAAAGATCACGTTAAAAACAGGACGAGATTTGCATATATATATATACATATACATATGACTATAACTGTGTGTTTGACTGTGGTGGTGGTGATGTTGTTGTTTCAAGTTGTATATACAGAGATTCAATTTTTTTATTATTGGAATATTCAGTAAATAAATCAGCATAATCTGGCTTCTGAGGATCTACTTGACCACATGGATAACGAAGAACATCATTAGAATTTGAACGTATTGGAGTATTCTAAATAAATATAGATTTTCCTATTTCTTTTCATTTGAATCCTATTAAACATACACTATATTTTTCAATAAGATCATTTAATTGTGTAAATATTTCATGTTTAGCACCACCTAAAAATCTATAAACATGTTGTTGTAGTTGATTATGATCACGTTTAGGTGCTAGAATAACTTCAATAAGTAAATGACGACAATGATCTGATGCACGATATGATAATGCATAACCATATATTTTTTCATTTATACGTATTAAATAAGTTCCAATAGGTTTTGAACCTAAAAGTTGTTCTGTATATGCTCGACTTATAATTCCTAAGAGGAAATAATGTGAAAGATTATTTTATATAATAAGTATATTACCATGAAACCATAAATATATTTGACCATTTGGAGAACGGAATGTACTGTAAGGAACTTCCCTTGTGCAAAACCATTGACGAATATCTTCACGTGTCAAAGGTAACAAAGGTTTACTATATAAATAGAAATTAAAATACATGTTGTGAAGTTTTATTTACTAATTGATCGTTTTTGGAGAATATTCTCTATCGCACAAAGATATGACTTATTTTTATCGAACGCTATTATTCATACTGATTCTGTTATGAAAAAAATCTATATCTTACGATCGTGGATGTTCAACAGGAGTAGTTGGAGATTTTTCTTGTTCAATAGGTTCTTTTCTTAAATTATCCATTGATGAACTTTGTAGCTTAAGAGGTTTTTTTTCAACAAATTCAATATGAATTTTCTTTTCATTTGTTGGCGGAATGATTTTATTTGATGAATTTAATGGTGGTGGTTGAAGAATAGTTGTATGATTATCTGTATCAAAGCAGACATTTAATTGTGAAGAATTTTTTAAGTAACTATCTCGTGCACGTCGTGCAACTTCACGTCGTTCTCGATCAGCTTGTTTAGCGCGTTCTTCAATTTCACGATAAAAGATTTCATCAACAATATCACTTTGAGGAATTTGAGGAAGTGATGAAGATTTTTTCTGTTGTAAAACTTCACTTTCTTTATTCTAATAAAGTAAAATAAATATATATTATGAACTATAAAGAATAGAAAACATACCAAGACAAGTCGTCGTGTGTCAGATTCTAAACGTTCAAAGATACGCCGTGCTTCTTGTATATTATTAGATATTTCTTCAATTTGTTTTCGCCTATAAAAATAAACGAAAATTTCTTTAATTTACATAACATTAATATCTGTCTTTTATTTATGGCTTATCAATAATAGTCAGAAGCTTATTCATATTGATTTTCAATATGTTAAACTTACAGACGACACAAACTTGTTCGCTGCATATTAGCAAGCAATACATTAAGTCTATTACAGGGAATAATATACAAGAAATTAGGAATGGATTATTAAAAAAAAAGAACTCAATAAATAAATGCTAATCTATATAACTTACTCATCACGATGCACCGTATAATAACTTCCGGTTTTAGTTGGAGCAGCATGATTAGCACCGGCAATAGCTCTACAGAGACAAGTTATGTCAGTATGTAAGTAATATGAAGCATATTAATTTTATGTGTCTGAATTACAAAACTAACCTTCGATGATTATGATGCTCATTTTCGTCATTAATTCTAGAAAACCGAGAAATTTCAATTAAATTTATTATATAGAATATCTACTTGTCATGTAAGTATTCATCAATGGTCTTTGAGGATATTTGTGATTCGCCCATGACCTTACACCATTCATTACCATCAACACCAAGTCGAAATGTAACACGTTTGTTATTTTTCTTAATTTTATTTCTTTTATCTAGAAAAATCATTTCGATATTATTATAATTAAATTAATCAATAGATATTTTTTTTTATACGTGTTGATTTCAATGTATTCATTGCTTTTTCTTTTTCTTCATCTTCTCGTTCATAATATCTTCGAATTTGTTCTTCACGCATCTTACAGAAAAGTAATTGTTTTTGATCTTCTGGCAATCCATTGAGTAATTCACGTGGAACATATAGATCATGTAAGATCTGGGCGAGCATTTCATCCTCTAAAATATGTTAAAATACAAAAAAAAACCTAGTATTTGTCATTACAATCAAGGATTTTGTTTCATATATGCCCACATAATTTAAAACGTTTCTCCTTCGATCATTCACAAGGAGACCAACAAAGAATTCGATTGGTTAATTCATCAGCCATGATATCTGTAACAATGAACTCTCATCATTTATATAGAAAATTTATTGGTTTACTCATATGAATAGAGAAAACATCTTGTACAGGTTAATTTCTAATCTAGAATATCATAAGTGATGATATATCTTGTCTTTTCAGTAAGATAAAAGCACATACTATCACGTCAAGAACAAAAGAGAGTGCATTCAGATGAAGAACTAACTATTTTTCTGGAATTTTTTCTCACTTTTTTTTTTAGATTAAAAAATCCTTTGTTAAATATTAAAAAATGGATGATATATCAACAAATAATCATAAAAATACAATTGCCAATGATATTGATGATCAACAAATCTTAAAACGAAATATATCTAAAGTACCAATAACACTTAATATTCGTTATAAAACTCAAACATTTCCAGTTGAATGTGATTTATATGATACATTAAAAGATCTTAAAGAAAAAATTGATAAATTAACAGATGTTGATCCACAAGTACAAAAATTAGTTAATAAATCAATTACAAGTGTTAAACGTGATGATATAACAACAACATTAAAAGATTTGAATATAACGGATGGACAAACATTATTATTAGTTGGTGCAACTCGATCAGAAATTTTATCAACTAGTCAAGTAAATATTCCTTCAAGTGGAAATAAAGATTCGAATGATGATCATGCATCACCAACCAATAAAAAAGAACCATTATGTAAACAAACAAAACATGAAAAAGTATTAAAAGCTGGTAAATATATTTAACAAAGGAATAATCGTTTTTTCAAAACTAGTTTTTATTAATTTTCAGGTAAACCAGATAATGTTCAAATGGGTATTCGTAATAAACATGATCCATTACCACAATCAATTGATGGTTTACTTATGTCAATGTTAAGTCATTCAGCTAAAAAAGCACGTTTAACATTTAAACTTGAAGTTGATGAATTATGGATCAATACAGGTAAGAAAATAAAGGTATTTTATTGTATTTTATTTTGTATAATTAGCGGAAACAACAAAAAAAATCCCAATGACACATATACGTAATATTGTTGATGAACCAATTGAAGGTAATGAAGGTTATTCAATTGTTGGCTTCCAAACTGGCACAACGTAAGTTTAATTTTGTTTTATAATTATTCAAAATTCTTTGTTTATGTATTTTTAGAGAAAATTCGATCATATGGATCTATTGGTGTCCATCACAATATGTTAAATCAATTCGTCGTGAAATTCTTTCTGATCATTAAATGATAATCACATCTACTCTTTTTTTTACTCTTATTTGTCTTTCGTAATTTCAAACAAAGAAACTCTCAAAACGAATCATTCGAATGTTCTCATTATTATTGTTAGATTTTCTTTGTCTTTCTCTGTCTCTCTCTTTTTTATCTCATTAAATGTTGACTTCTAGTCTCTAAACATGATTATATAAACTAAATAAGAACAAAAAAATAAAATCAAAAATCTTTTTTCAGACATATATATATTCAATGACTAAACAAGAAAAAAGATCACGTATATTATTAACTGATTCACAGATAAATACGCTTGCTGGTGCAGCTTCTGGTGCATTCGTTAGTGTACTTGTTAGTCCATTAGATGTTGTTAAAACACGTATTCAAGTAAAACGTTTACCAAAAGGTGCAGCAGATACACCATTATTAACGACAATATATAGATTAGGTCAACAAGAAGGTTTTCGAGCATTTTTCAAAGGTCTAGGAACGACAATGTTGGTAAGAAAACTATTTTTTTCTATTCAAAATATTATTCTATTGAAGTTCTAGGGATATATACCTAATTGGGCAATTTATTTTGGTACATATCAATGGTCAAAAAAACAATATGCTTCTGCATTATCACTAATACATTCCGAACATGATATGTTAGTTAATTTACTTGCATCAGTTACTGCCGGTGCTATATCAAATACAGCGACAGCACCAATATGGACTATTCGTACACGTATGATGACTCAAACAAATCATGAAGATTATAGAAATACATTTCATGCAGCACAAAAAATTTATAAAACAGAAGGAATGTATGCTTTATTTCGTGGTGTTATACCATCAATGTGGGGTTTGGTAAATTAGCTTTTTTCTTAAGTATTGAAAGATCTTAGCAAGGATAGTTTATGATGAGTGTTTCAAATCTTTCTGTTTTACCTATTCTAAAATAAGATCAAATCCATAGTTTTAACTAAAACAAGAACTCTGTCTGGAACATGTATCACTCATAAGAATCGGCATGATGCATGAAATTTAATATATGATTTTTTTTCCTATACAGATTCATGTTGGTGTTCAATTCCCACTGTACGAATATCTTAAAAAGAAATGTGCTGGTACTGATTCACCTTCGGATCATCATTTATCGACAGGACAACTTATGTTTGCATCGAGTGTTTCAAAAGTCATTGCTTCTGTAGTTGCATATCCACATGAAATTGTTCGTAGTCGACTTCAAGATGCAGGACATGCTCGACGTATACATCAAAAATCTTCAACTACTACCACTGAGTTTCGTGAATATAAAAATGTACGTGATGCAGTTAGAACAATTGCTAAAGAAGAAGGGTTACGAGGATTTTATCGTGGTATTATACCTGCACTATTACGAACAGTACCTGCAGCAGTATTAACTTTAATATCGTATGAAAAAATGAAAGATTTTCTTACTGATAATTATGGTCCTGATTCGACACAACAATAAAACACTTTTTTCTTATTTTTTGTATGTATTAATCTCGCTAAAACATTTTGTGTAATCTAACCGAGCGTTTATGTCAATATAAATTTTGTCATAAGAAATGAATAATAGCTTATATTATTACTTTTACAAAAAGGTTTAATAGCGTAGTTTCCTACTATTATAAGAGTAAATATTAAAAACATGACTATCTAAATTCATGCATTTATATATCTTCAGACCATGGAATTGATGTCTTGATTATTAGGTAATAAAATTTCTTTTAACCAGCAATATACAGTAAGAAGTAGAGTTATTCATGATAGAAAAAATCATAATGCACACTTTGCTCTTATTGGTTTAAATAAAAATTTATGATATGTATATTTATATCCGAACAAAGTGGAAGAAACCTTTGCATATATCTTTATATGGTAAAAGAAGATCATTTTATCTTATACAATTTTACTTCTATAATCGATATTTTATTATTAATAGAGAAAAGAAAAAGAAAGCTAACATAATAATATGTAGAAAAAATAAAGTAAGAAATGAAACGATCAGAAAAAAAGGATCGATTACATATAAATACACACATGTAACATTGACTGTATCAATCACACAGAATAAGAACATTCATAGTTGATATGGTGGTAATTGTCCATTATGATTAGCCATCAAAGTAGTTAATACTTTAGTTGGATCTAATGATGGTTCAATACCACTTGAACGTTTTGTGTCATGTCCAACAATATCAAGTTTTTGTTGACGATGACGTATTTCATTCTCTTGATTACTATCATCGATTACTTCGGGTAGAATTAAATCAGGACCTACAATATGAGGTATAACATGATTATATAATTTTAAAGGTGCAATTGGTAATTGACTATCAATTTGAATTGGTGTTCGAGATATACCATCTTAAAATAGATAACAAAAATACATAAAATAAAAAATATTGATTTTTATTAAAAATTAATTACTACCAGTCGGCGAACGCGGATCACATTGAAGTTGAACAACACGATTAAGTTTTCCACCATTATTTGATTTTGGTGGTGTACTATAAATATTTGAATTAAATTTATCTGAATAACGTTTTGTATTTGAACTTGTTGCGGCACCCATGATCTTCCGAGAAATGAAATGACTATAGATAATTTGACTGTGTCTGTATACAAAGGTTCAATCGCGCTCTATTGTTTCAAATGGATCGCTACCATCGCCAAAAAAATTATTTTTATAATGATTTTATTTATAAAAAAAACCTTCAATTTTTACTTAAAAATAATTTCAATTAAAATTTACTAAATATTAAAATGAATCTCTCTTATGATTGGCTTATAAATTTAACCAATCAAATAAATAAATAGCAAGAACTCGTTGTTGTTTGTTTTTCTTCTTTTGTCTTGTGCTATTCTAATATCTATACGATTGGTTACATAAAAATTGCGTCGGAAATACATGTGAGATGTCTTCTACTCTAGATATGACGTCGAAAGCCCAATGTTTTTTCGACATCAAAATTGGTGAAAATGATGGTAAGATATTTATTATATTAAATATCTATCTTTCTATAAGATTTTTTATTAGCTGGTCGAATTGTATTTGAGCTTTATAACGATTTATGTCCACGTACATGCGAGAATTTTCGTTGTTTATGTACAGGTAAAGTAGATTTTATTGTTGAATAATATTTTAAAATATTTATTCTAGGAGAAAAAGGTCGTGGTTTGACATTGTATAAAAAATTATCTTATAAAGGATGTTTATTTCATCGTATTGTGAAAAATTTTATGATACAAGCGGGTGATTTTACGGAAGGTAAGTGGGAAAAAATTTTGTTTTTTTTTTAAATTAGGATTTTTCTTTGTTTTGATTTTAAATTTAATTCTATACATTTATTTTCGTTGATCAGCAAGATTGATTTTGAAGACATCTTTCGGTCCACCATGACGAGTGATGGCAGGCAAAAGATCTATATGAGGCCATCACTTGCATTATATTTTATCTCTTTTAGTCGAGTGTTGATAACTAAATAAGATGATCTATGTGTGTTATAAATAATCGAATTTTTCTGTCTATGTGGTCTTTCAATTCCAGGCAACGGCACCGGCGGTGAATCGATATATGGCGGCTCATTTGCAGGTATGTTTAGTGACATTTTCGATAATAAAAAAATTGTGTTCTTTTCATTATTTTAGATGAAAATCTTCAAATGAAACATGATCGACCTTATCTTCTTTCAATGGCTAATCGAGGACCAAACACAAATGGTTCACAATTTTTCATGTATGTACAGAAGAATTTCATCTTATAGTTTTAAAGAATATTTCTTATTTTTATTTTAGAACGACAGATGTAGCATCACATCTTGATGGGTAAATATTGATATTTAATAATAAATAAAGATTTTGATCTATCTTTTGATTCTTGACAAAATTTTACGTTTAAAGAGTAATCATAAATTGTAATATATAAACTTATTGATATTGACATGGCTAGATATAGAGTATAGTATAATTCTAGAGAGATAAGTATTAGTTTGTACCAAATTATAAGATTTCATATAGATGTAGGTTGAGTTCGAAGTCTTAGAACTTGATTAATTTTTTAATGTTACCATAACATAGAATGTAAATTACAGATTCATATAGCTACTATTAAAAACTAGTAAATGTTTTCTTTACTAAATTTAGAATAGAGAAATATATAGATTAGTATTATATCCAGAATTTCGATCAATCATAGACAGTCTAATTCATAGAACACAATGACTTTTTTATAAAGTATTTTCGAGATCGAACATTACAAAATTCTTCATCAGTGTACGATTATATTCGATTTCCTAATTCTAAAAGTCTATAGTTAAGTTTTATTAAAAAAATTCTTGTCTTTATATAAAATTACCATTTTCTTTAGTAAACATGTTGTTTTTGGCCATGTTGTATCTGGTCAAGCAGTTGTTGATACTATTGAAAATCTTCCTGTTGATTCAGCTACGAACCGTCCATTAAAAGATGTTATTATAACAAATTGTGGTCAACTAGAATCTATTACAAGTAAAATTTAATTATTTTATCAAATATATATATGTATATATATGTGTTTAGAAAGCAATAAATCAAAAAAACGTAAAATATCAACTGGAGATGATAATGAAGATGAAACTATCGAAGAAAATAATGATAATGAAAGTAGTTCATCATCAGACAATGATGAAAAGAAAAAGAAATCCAAACATAGTAAAAAATCGAAGAAAAAAGAAAAACATCGAAGAAAAAAAGATGGAAAACGTTCATCAAAAAAAAGTGATGAAGATGAAAATACTCTTAAGAATAATACCGGTGAAATATCTATACGAGATACAAAATCAAATATTGATTCTGATGAATTACCAAATATCTCCGAATCGAAAATGATGCGATCCGTATTAAATGAAAACGAAAAAACATCTCGGTAGGAAAATAAAATTATTAAAAATATCAAAAAACCTTCGAAATTTTCTAGAACTAACAGTCATCAATCATCGAAAAAAGTTGATTCAAATGGTCGTCCAGTTAAAGGTCGTGGTATAATGGTAAGAGAAATTGTTTTTTTTTCGTTTTAATAAATTAAATTTATTCTAGAGATATACAGGAAAAAGTCGTTCCAGATCACGTACACCACCTCATTGGCGTTCAGCAGCTGAAGAACGTAAACGTCAAATTGGAATGAATGAACAAACAAATTCGAATGAAAATCCGGATACAGCAATACAACCATCTGAACAAATAGCTAATCGTGAAAATTCTAAACGTACGCGTTCATATTTAAAAAATGGTGATGTAAATGATGATCAAGTAAATACTATAAATTCAACTAATGATGAGGATCAATTGCCACAAGAATTAAATAAACGATCACGTCGTCATGATAGACGACGTGATGTTGTTGATGTTGACAACGATGATGATGATGATACTAATAATGAAGTACAACCACAACCAGTTATACAAAGTAGTATTGTTCGAGCTGAACCAAAACAACGTGAACATCGTAATGAATCAAAACATCATCGATCAACAAATAATAATAAACATGATGAAAATGAAACATCGAATCATGATAAACATGGTAAATTTATCTCAATTATTTTCTCATTTATTAATTTTTTTTTCTTTTTTTAGTACAAAATAATTCTTCACCATCTCGTCATAAACGTGATTACGATGAATCTCATAGTCATCATCATGGTCGACGGCGGCGGCGTTCTCGAACGTCAGCATCACCAGTAAAAACTGATCAACAAAATAATACAACAAATAATTCAAGTTCATCAACTACCGACCCATCATCTATAAAACGACGTAATCGATGGGAGAATGAAGATGCTTTTAATGAACGACAAACAGCAGCACAACATGTAAGTCTTGAAGATGAATTACGTTTAATTTCACAAACAAATGAAATACAATCTGAGACAACTACGCAATCGAATGACATTCCACAGCCAATAGTAACAGAAGTTCCTAGTAAATCAAAATGGGATGATGACGACGATGATAATGATAGCCGTAGTGATAATAAACAACAAGAAGAAGAAATGATAGTAAATTCAGTACAACAAAATCAGATTCAATCAGAATCGTAAGTTTATTATTGTATAAGAAGAAAATCTTTAACTTTGTTATGATATTTATCTTTAGTTCATCAAAAGTACAACCAATTAGTCCAATAGTAAATAATTCTGTTGAAACTTCATCAAATATTGAAAAATCTAATGAAATTCCATCAGTATCGGATAAACAACAAGAGAAATCAACTGAACAATCATCATCAAGTAATACACGAAAAGAAAAAGATTCTTCGACGAAAGAACGTCGTCAACGACGAACACCAAGTCAAGATCGTGAGCGTGATCGGCATCATCGACCATCAAGTCGAGATCGTGAACGTGAACGTGATCGTCATCGTCGAACATCTAGTCGTGAACGACGTCCTTATCATTCATCATCAAATAATCGTTATCGTAATTATCCTGAAAAAGATGATTATCATCGTCGAAGAAATTATGATGATCGATATAGCAATAGTCGTCGTCGACGATACTCACCACCAGCATCATCATCTCGAAATCGATATAATGATAGATATAGAGGTTAGATATCTTGAAAGTTTTTTTAAATAGATTTGAATTAATTAATTTTTCTTAAGGTCGTGATCGTGATTATTATAATAGAGATCGTAAAAGAAATGATGATCGTGACCGTGATCGTCATCGTTCATCTCGTGATAAAAATACTCGTCCAACACAATCAAAACTATCCAGTCGTCGAAAGAAAACATCTAGTTCATCATCAAGTTCAAGTTCTGCATCCGGTTCTCGTTCATCTTCATCATCTTCATCGTCATCATCAGGATCCTCTTCGTCCTCCTCATCATCGTCCGGCTCTTCATCAAGTAGTTCATCTGGATCGTAAGTTTTTTTTTGATTTTATCAACAATCATTTATTTTAAAATTTTCAATATTGTAGAAAATCTCCATCCGGACAAAATCAACGTATTCCAACTCCACCAGTACGCAAACGTTTACCTACACCACCTAATCCTGATGATGAAAATATTTTTGTATCTTTGCCAGTTGTGAAAGCACGTGAAGCACCTGAACGAAGACAGATTAAAATTGAATTGGCAAAATCTATGCCATTACCACCTTCAACATCACCAGGTAAAATCAATACTTGTAATTTTTCTTAATAAAAAATATAATATTTATCTAAATAGTTCGACCAGCTCCACCGCCACCTCTTCCTCTTTATGATCCTGAAGAAGATGATGAATCATCAAATACAGCAACAACACATTTACAAGATCGTATTGGTGAACATGAAGATATGGAACTTGATGATCTTGATGAACCAGAACCAACATCAACAGATGATTTAACTTCTTCAACAACTTTTATGGAAGAACAATCAGTACAATCAATAACTGCAACACCTCCAGTACTACCACCTGTTATATCTCTTTATGACGATGATGCTAATCAAGAAGCAAACATTCCATCCGATAGTAACCAAGTAAATAAATTCGTATGTTCATATATAAATAATTTCATAAATTATTATTTAGGAACAAAGTAATGATGCTGGTAGTGTTGTACAAGTAGTAACTTCATCAAATGAAATCAACAATGAAAAGAAATCATCAAAACATCGATCCAGTAAAATAAAATTCACAAATATTTTTTAAAATTATTTATTTATTTTTTTATTAGCATCACGTTCTTCGGCATCAAGTTCATCATCCGATAGTGATACAAGTAGTTCAACATCATCTTCATCTACTCGATCTTCACATTCACCATCACCTCATCCAAATAAAAAGAAAGAATCAACACAGTAAATAAACTAAACAGATTTATTTTCTGATATTTATTTTTATTTTTTTTCTTCTATAGTCGTCAACAGAATGGTGACAATAGTTCAAATTCTAAATATAAATCACGACGTCGTTAAAACATTCTTTTTTTTTGTTACACACAGACATTCTTGTGTATATGTTTTTTCTTGTCCATCTTTAATCTTCTTGTTTTTTTTACCTAGTCTATATCTTTGTTCTTTTGTTTGTGCGTAAGGACATAAAAAACAAAAAAAAACCTAATGATGAATTTTTGTTCGATTTCTTTTTTTTTCCAGATATTTCTATTCATGATTGATCCAACAGCAACAATAAATGATTCAGGTGGTGGCAATAGCCATTCATCAAAAAGAAATTTTAATTGCTTTATAAGACCAAGAATTTTATTAACCGGTTTACGTCGTTCAGGTAAAACATCCATACAACGTGTTATATTTACTAAAATGTCACCATCACAAACACAATTTCTTGAATCAACACCACATTTAACATTAAATCAATTTTCATGTGGTTCATTTATTAATTTTCAAGTACAAGAACTACCCGGTCAGTTACAAGTATTTACATCAGGACATAATAGTGGTAGTGGAGGAAATAGTGGATTAGCATCATCATATGATGATGATACAATGACAAGTATGGTTGGTGGTGGTTATGATATGGAACGTTTATTAAAACGTTGCAATGCTGTTGTATATATCATTGATGCTCAAGATGATTATTCAGAGTCAATTGTACGGTTAAATGTAATTATACAAATAGGTAGACGAGTTAATCCAAGAATACGATATGAAGTATTTATACATAAAGTTGATCAGTTATCAGACGAAGCCAAAACTGAAACACAACGAGATATTCATAATCAGGTATGTATATGTCATTTCTTTCATTAAATAAATTCTACAATCGTATAGAGAACTTATTTTGATAAATATCTCATTCTATTTAGGTACGAGATCGTTTTGCTGATACTGTTGGTGGAGGGGATATGTGGTCATCAACGTCCAATACGCCTAATACAAATCCTCAAGATATTCTAATAAATTTTCATTTAACTTCAATCTATGATCATTCAATATTTGAAGCATTTTCAAAAGTAATACAAAAATTAATCCCACAATTTGGCCATTTAGAACGTTTGCTCAATTATTTATTATTAACATCGAATATTGATCAAGCATTTTTATTTGATGTTCAAACGAAAATAAGTATTGCAACTGATTCATCACCCACCGATATGCAAGTAAGTTATAGAATAAATTATAGGAAAAAAACAAAACATCTATCTAATTATTTTCGTTTTATAAGATGTATGAATTATGTTGTGATATGATTGATTTATTAATTAATATGAGTGAAATATATGGAAAACCAAACGAAGATAATGTTCGAACAATTAATGATGATGACGATGATGATGATGATGAATATATAAATGAACGTGAAAATTTAAATAATGATGATAATGAACAACATGAATGGAATATTGATACTCAAAATGATCCATATGATGAGAATAATGTTCAAGTCAATGATTTAAGAAATAATTCATATATACATAGTATGTAGATTTATTTTTAAACGAAAATATGTAAACTTTTTATTTGATTATATCTTTAGGTCCTTTAGGTACAACACCAGTGATAAATAATCAACATTCATCATTAATTGAAACAACAAATGAACCAGCATCAGCTGTATTTGATTCAATGTCATCAAGTGTTATTAAATTAACCGGTGGTCGAGCACTTTATCTCAAAGAAATCAATCGTCATTTAGCATTAATATGTATTTTACGAGAAGAAGCACTTACAAAACAAGCACTTATTGATTATAATGTTAGACAATTAAAAAAATCAATTATGAAATTATTTCGTTTAAATCATCCAACATCTCGACCTCCTGTGTCATCACCAAACATTGTTTAATAAAACGTTTTTTTTTCTATTACCCTGATCCCACCAATGTTTCAGGAATGCATGTTTGTGTCTTTGTTGTTCACGTTTTTCTTTTTTGTTGCTGTTGTTGTTGTTGATGTTGTTGTTGCTATCATTAAAAAGAAGCCCTGTTTCTTTCTATTCGCATGCGAAAGTGTTCTTCTTGTACTTGTACATAAATAATATATATCTACTTCTTGCACGACGATATTGTTAATTTGTCCATTTTTTGATTGGCAAAACATTATCGTTTTTTTACCTTTTTCCTCTTTTTTTTTTGATGCGCATCGGCACAAACAGTGAACTATCTTGTTCGATTTTCTTTTCTTTTCTTTTTCTTTTGTCTTCTTTGAAATTCTTTAGCACGCGCGCGTATCTACGTGTATGCGGCAGACATTTTGTTTCACATACACACATTTTGTCCTGTTTGTTCTTTTGTGCGCGCATTTCATTTATTAGAAAAAATGTAAACAAATAGTGCATAACAAACTTCAGTTTTTTTTATTTAATGCATCTATATTTGAACAAATTGAAGAAGATCATCAAAAGTCAAACTTCATCATTGTTTTGTAGTACATATTTCAAAATTCAACTGGAAATTTTGGTATTTTACGTCCATTAAAATAACATCTTCTGATATATATGTATCTTCAAAAGAATCTAATAAAACTTCAAAGATTTGTAACCAACTACTGATAGGATTTTATTAATATCATAAGCAAATTTGCTATCAGTTTTATAAGTAATCTTAGATCCGAATTCCTACAAGAGCCTAATACTGTTGAAAAAGATGATATGTTAATGTATAGTTATTCCTCAGATAAAGTAAGTTTGAGTAGATATAATAAACATACTATGAATTTTCCATCAACTAATATTTTTTCTAATATATTAAAAATTTGGAAGGCAAACTGCCACTCCAACCGGCACATTCTAATTACCTTCATTACTGCACCATTTACTTAGAAAATAGCAGTAAAATTAAAAGCAATTACATAATTGAACTCGCTCAATACTAATAAGGGTTTATTTTTTTTCTCCCGTAATAGTAATTGTGATAGAAGGCATTGCTGAAAAACGTGACAAGTGCTTTGTTTTTTAGAAGTATTTATATATTTAACTAATCCTATTAACTATATAAAGAATATGCAACTATTTTTTTAAAGGTTAATCTAAACTAATTTTAATTTAGATGCGTGGGTGTGGTACAGAGATAAATATAACATCCACACTCTTTATGTTGAATTTAAAACTAGTGATATTTACGAACGAAAAATATGATGAACATTATTTTTTGAATCTAAAATATGCAGTAAAAAGAAGCTAGACTTTTTCAGACTAAAAGTACACAAATTCTGTTTTTACTTATTTAGTCTGCATCTTTGAATAATATCATGTAAGCATTTAGAAGAGTCACATTATCCAACATAATAAAATAAACAATATGTAATGTGATCTTCTTTCATCTCAAAAAGTATTATATGACTACTTTTATATATACAATTAAATCATCAATATTATTTCGTCCTAGACTATCGAAATAAACATAGAACAAAGTCTCATTCGGTTGAGTTAAGGTATCAGACAAAAATAACAAGATGACAAGTGTATTGTAAGCGATTATAATCATTCATGTTAGAAATTAATATCTAACATGAAATTGATATATTTTCAGATTTAAGTTTTCTTTTTTTGTAGTGATGCAAGTACAAATAGTGTCAATGAAACAACATACCTTTGTTAATCACTGTTATACTATATAATTATTCGATTATATTCTTGTGTGTATATAACCTTGAGAAATCAGTCAATCGATATAATAATTTAATAGCAATCATTGTTACTTATAGAGTGCTAACGCTTTTCAATTAACTTGACTTCTAATGTATATACATTTCTATTTTTCTTTTGTGCCATTATACAAAGCCGGATTTTAGATACTCATAAAAAAGTAGTGATTAGCTGAATGTATGTTTACTAATCAATTGTCTTTTGAGTATTCAGAAACTATATTTATAGGACCGATAAAAAGCTACTGGGTTGGTTTATTTTTCGACAGATGTGATAAAATCTGATGTTCTTTACAACGAAATGTCGAATCTTGATAACAATTATTTGAATATAATGCAGTGCAATATTCATTTGAACAATTAAGATGATCTAAATCATCTATATCATTTTCTCAAAATTCCTTCGAAATACTCAATTTGTTGATATTCATTTAATTACATATAAAAAGAAAATATTTCATCAATACAATTCACATGTTTATCACATACTTCACGCTAATTCAGACGTAAATATAATTTACAACGATCATATTCAAAATAGGCATGACATGATAATTCTATCAATATATTATCAGATAACTGGAAACCGAATCCGAGGAAACATGCAGGTTAATGCTATCGATATTTATCAATAGATTTTGATTATCAGTGTTACCATTTACTCTTAAAATAGTTTTGATTTCAGTGATCAATCATTTATCTCTTAAAAATTCTTATTTTAGAAAGTTAATCATCAATTAGTTGTATACAAATATTGACATTAGTCTTATATTTGATTCATTTGAATAAACAAAATAATTCTCTCAAGAAATTTTCAAAAATGAGAAATTCAAAACTCTAAATGATCCCTACTTTTATCACTAGTTCATTCGATTATTTTTGCTGAATTCTGAACTTTTTGAAATATGATTTTTATCTTTTTAAAGCATGATCGTAAATGAGTGATAGAGTAGAGGTGGAAAATTTTAATCTCATGTCTATTCCATAGACCATGACAAACACCTTAATGGTTCCTTACAGAAACAGACAGCACGATCGTACTTCCCATTTTAATCTTTCAGGAACTGTAAAGACTGATGTATTCATACGTCATCGGGACTCATACGGTGAAAGACTTCCTCTCAACCTCACGAGATTAGAATACATTTAATGTCTTATTTAACTGAGGTGGGAAAAATTATCACGATTTGATATAATAAACTGTTTTTTTTTTAATAACATATTATAGAATTCATGTTAGGAGCTGCTCAATTAGTATCAACATGTTGGATATGTCTTTATAATAATAGTTAATGCTGTATTCAAACGATAAAGATCACTGAAAAATAGCGTCACCAATGACTACAATATCGAAAATTACTGATTTAAACTTCGATGATATAACATCACTTAAATACAAGAACACGTTTTTCCAACAAACTCTTTTGAGTAGAAATCATTCAACGAATTCACATTTTATCTAATAATAAAGAGATTATTTTAATTCAAACAATAGTTTATTTTATTCAAAAATATTATTAATACTAATTCAAATTAATAAAAATATCTAGTTTTGTTTATTTTTTGTCCTATTTAGATGTAACAAAAGGATTACGATTCGCAGGAATATAGTGTTCCGATTGTTGAATATCTGTTGGTTGTTCAGCACTAACACTATTCATTCGTAGTCGTTCTCTTTCGCTAACAAACATTGGTGATAGACTTGGATTTGTATTAATAAATCGTTCAAAATCATCCAAGCTCACAACACCATCTTTATTCTTCAATAGAAAAACAAAACATCCGATAGATGAAGAAATATTTTAGAAATATTACCATATCCCATTGTTTAAGTAATTGTTGTATTAACTGTTGAGATTCAACTGTAGGTGGTAAACATTCTTGCAGATCTTCACGTGTTATAATTCGATCACGATTAACATCAAGTGATTCGAAATATACTAAAAGATCGATATATATATAAACATTTAGAATATCTTATTTTAACTTACAAGAAATTTTTTGATGTGCTGTACCTCGTTCGAGAATATGAGAAACAATCATAAAATGAAAAAAATCAATACTACCATCAGTTCTTTGATCCTATTCAATAAAATAAAAAAGAGGAATTCTGATGAAAAGTAAACAAGTAGAATTTTACTCGATTTTGTACATCAAATAATCGATAGAGTCGTTCAACAGCTGTTGGATCATTATAACCAATTGGAACAAGTGAGAATTTCTGAAGACATCGCCAAAGATCCTAAACAAATTTTTAATAAGTTATTTTTCTATAATAATAAACAATATGCGTACTTGAGGTGATTCAATTTTTCCATTAGGAAAATGTCGACGAAAAATAGCATTCCTAAACAGAAAGCATTTAATTAATCTATTATTATTTTCAAATAAAACTTACGCACATAGCTTTTATTTCTTCTGATGAACCTTAAAAAAAAAGGACCAATCATTATTTCAAATTAATCTATTGTGATTTTTATTTCTTACGATTTGTACGCATAACTAAATCACGAAGAACAGTTTTATTTATTTTTGTTTTATTTGCACCCATATTTTTATGTTCAAAAGATTAATATATACACTACAAACAAAAAAGAAATTGAATATATTATTAAAGTCATGAATATATATGAAATTCTGTGTCTTTATAAAATAGGCTCATTAGCATAATATTTACAAAAACTTTTTTGTTCTTTATTAGATCATTATTGATTATATCAATGGAAGGTCTTTCGAATGAATTATTGTATACCTTTCTGTTAAGAAGAATTATACATAACATTGATTTGACGAATGTAAAAAAAAAGAAGAAAAGAAGACAAACTTCATTCTTATACGTGTTTTTTTCTGTTTCTTTTATAGCAACGCAAATATATTCAGTAATTTTTATTTTTAATATTAAGCTTTTTTTACTTTAATAATAGCATTATCTTTGGAATACTGTGATTAACTGAAAATTAATATAGTCTATTTAAATGATCTAGTTTTTTTCTAGACATTTTAGTTCATAAGTAGAGGTTCTCTAGAGTAACGTGAATATATGCTTTTCTTTGTTGATTGTATTGTTGGTGTCGTCTCTAAGGAGTTTTTTTTCTTTTTTTTTTTTATTCTTTATGTTTGTTTCAGCATCAATTCAAGTGTCTCCAATAGAAACTCGACACTGCACTCTCATCATTTTATGGGGCTAAAAAAGAGATGGTGATTCATCTTGGGGTGATGCTGCTGCCGTCGCCCCGGATTGTTCTCTCTCTCTCTCTCTCTCACTCTTTCTCGTTTTCTTTTTCATTCGTCGCCTTCGTTACACACTCATTTCTTTTCTATTTCTCTATATAATATATCAGCCTAACTCGCTCACTCTGTCAGTCAGTCGCAACAAAGAGACGTACAAGAGCAAACAAGCAACCACTACCGTCGTTAAATAAAGCCAAAAAACTTCAGTATGTTTTTTCTTTAGTTTTATTTCGTTAGTTACTTGTAAAGAAACTCTTTTACTATTAAGATAATGCGTGAATGTATTTCAATCCATGTTGGTCAAGCTGGTGTTCAAATTGGTAATGCATGTTGGGAATTATACTGTTTAGAACATGGTATTCAACCCGATGGACAAATGCCATCAGATAAAACAATTGGTGGAGGTGATGATTCATTCAACACCTTCTTCAGTGAAACAGGTGCTGGTAAACACGTACCACGAGCTGTTTTTGTCGATTTAGAACCAACTGTTATCGGTAAATATATCAAAAATATATAAATATAAACGATTCTAATGAACTATTCTCTCTTCAGATGAAGTTCGTACTGGTACATATCGTCAATTATTTCACCCTGAACAATTAATTACTGGCAAAGAAGATGCTGGTAAATTTAGATTAAAATAAAACTCCTTCTTTTGTATTAATATATTATTTATATTATATAGCTAACAATTACGCTCGTGGTCATTATACCATTGGAAAGGAAATTGTTGATTTAGTACTCGATCGTATTCGTAAATTGGCTGATCAATGTACTGGTCTTCAAGGATTTCTTATCTTCCATAGTTTCGGAGGTAAAAAATACCTATTTTTAAAAATAAATTCATTTTTATGAAAAATATTTTTAATTAGGTGGTACTGGTTCTGGTTTTACATCATTATTAATGGAACGTCTCAGTGTTGATTATGGTAAAAAATCGAAACTCGAATTTGCTGTTTATCCAGCTCCACAAATTTCGACTGCTGTCGTTGAACCATACAACTCAATTTTAACAACACATACAACACTCGAACATTCAGATTGTGCATTTATGGTTGACAATGGTTCGTAAAAGAAATTTTAAGAAAAAATTTTTTTTGTTTAATAAAATATTTTTTTCTTTCAGAGGCCATCTATGATATCTGTCGTCGTAATTTGGATATTGAACGTCCAACATATACAAATTTAAATCGATTAATTGCACAAATTGTTTCATCAATTACAGCATCATTACGTTTTGATGGTGCACTTAACGTTGATCTTACTGAATTTCAAACAAATTTAGTACCTTATCCTCGTATTCATTTTCCATTGGCTACTTATGCACCGATCATTAGCGGTAGGGTGTCTCTCATTGTCTATCTATATATATATATTTACTTATTTTGTTTTTTTTTATGTAGCTGAAAAAGCTTATCATGAACAATTGACTGTTGCTGAAATCACCAATGCTGTTTTTGAACCAGCCAATCAAATGGTTAAATGTGATCCTCGTCATGGTAAATACATGGCCTGCTGTTTATTATATCGAGGTGATGTTGTACCAAAAGATGTCAATGCAGCTATTGCTACCATCAAAACAAAACGAACCATTCAATTTGTTGACTGGTGTCCAACAGGTTTCAAAGTCGGTATTAACTATCAACCACCAACTGTTGTACCAGGTGGTGATTTAGCTAAAGTTCAACGAGCTGTTTGTATGTTATCAAATACAACTGCTATTGCCGGTACGTTTATTATAATTTTATTACAATTAATTATTTTATTTTATTTTTTACAGAGGCTTGGGCTCGTCTTGATCATAAATTCGATTTAATGTACGCTAAACGTGCTTTTGTTCACTGGTATGTCGGTGAAGGTATGGAAGAAGGTGAATTTTCTGAAGCACGTGAAGATTTAGCTGCATTAGAAAAAGATTACGAAGAAGTTGGTGTTGATTCAGTTGAAGTAAGAGACAACTTATTTTCAAAAAATAAAATTTACATATTTTTCTTTTAATTTTAGGGTGAAGGTGAAGGAGAAGGTGAAGAATATTAAATAATAGGACAAAGCAGGATTCTTGGACAATAAATAATAATCATCTTATTTTGTTTCTTGTTCTATTGTATCTTTAAAAAAAAAATCTTATTATGAAAAAATAAAATAAAATTTCAATAGACATAAAGATTATTCAAATATTTCTTTAGATACATATTTTTATATCGATATCCATAAAATATAGTTCGTTTTTGTCTTGCATTGAAGTAAAAAGAATAATGAAAGATTCTACTACTACTAATACTGTACCACCATCATCATCGTCATCGACAGCGACAACAGCAGCAGCTGCAGCAGCAACAACAACAGCAACAACGACGGCGATAGTTTCACCATCGAGTCCAAATGCTACTAAAGAGAAACCAACAACAAATACTGTTTTTCGTGATACACGTGCTGAACTTGCACAATTATTGAAGAAAAAAGAAGAAATTGAAGTTTGTTAAGAAGATTGTTTGTTTTTTCTTGAAATAAATAGAATATTATTTATAGAAATCATTATCAGATATTGAAGAACAAATTTATGCGTTTGAAACGAGTTATCTTAAACAAACACAAGATACAGGAAATTGTATTCGAGGATGGAGCAATTGTTTAACTAGTGGAAGTGGAAATAATAAGTGAGTGTGTGTCTTACTCAAAATCATCTATAGTCGATCGTTATCCTTTCAAAACTTGAATTTATCATAAAAGAAATAAATTCTTT